TTATATGCTAATTTGAAGAAATGCACTTTTATGAGTGATAATTTATTATTCCTGAGATTCATTGTGAGCAAGGAAGGAATTAAAGTAGATGAAGAAAAGGTGAAAGCCATTAGGGAGTGGTCGACCCCATCAAATGTCACAGATGTGAGACGCTTCCATGGGTTAGCAACTTTCTACAGGCGATTTATTAAACATTTTAGCAGTATTGTAGCTCCCATCACTGAATGTTTGAAAAAAGGAAGATTTCAATGGGGAGAAGAATATGAGCAAAGTTTTGCTCTCATAAAAGAAAAGTTATGTACTGCTCCTGTCCTTGCTTTACCAGATTTTGATAAATTATTTGAAGTTGAATGTGACGTCAGTGGAGTTGGCATAGGGGCTGTATTGTCCCAAGAAAAGAGACCCATTGCGTTCTTTCGTGAAAAGTTGTGTGAATTCAGGAGAAAGTGGTCCACTTATAACAAAGAGTTCTATGCTGTGGTGAGAGCCTGGAAAACATGGGAACACTATTTAATTGCAAAAGAATTTGTTCTTTATACTGACCACCAGGCCTTAAAGTATCTCAGTGGGTAGAAGCAATTAAGAAGTGATTTACATGCAAGATGATCCGCTTTCCTCGACAAATTCCCCTACAAAATTGTGTATAAGGCTGGACAACAAAATAAAGTGGCCGATGCCCTTAGTAGACGTGTAGCCCTCATCATGACTCTCAGTATTGAGATTGTGGGTTTTGAGTGCCTAAAAGACCTATACGTCCAGGATGAGGACTTTCGACAGGTATGGGAAAAATGTGTGAATCGACAGCCAGCAGATGATTTCTACATTTATGATGGGTTCCTTATGAAAGGAGAACAACTGTGCATCCCTTGCACCTCTCTTCGCGAAAAGATCATCAGGGATCTGCATGGGGGTGGATTAGCAGGACACCTGGGAAGGGACAAGACAATTGAAGCAGTTAAGGGGCGTTATTATTGGCCGAAATTAAGAAGAGATGTGTCCACTATTGTGAGTAGGTGTTATATCTGCCAGACAGTTAAGGGACAAACCCAAAATACTAGTCTCTACATGCCTCTGCCTGTTCCTACTGCAATATGGGAAGACTTGTCCATGGATTTTGTGCTAGGCTTGCCAAAAACCCAAAGAAATATGGACTCCGTCTTCGTAGTGGTTGACAGGTTCTCTAAGATGGCTCACTTCCTCCCATGTAAGAAAACAGCAGATGCATCAGCGACAACCAAATTATTTTTCAGGGAGATTGTCTGTTTACATGGGGTACCCAAGACTATCACATCAGATCGAGACACAAGGCTCTTAAGTCACTTCTGGATGACCCTATGGAGGTTATTTGACTCATCACTAAATTTCAGCAGCACAGCCCATCCGCAGACAGACGGACAAACAGAGGTGGTGAACTGGACCCTTGGTAATTTGATTTGCAGTATATGTCGAAAGAGACCGAAACAATGGGATTTCGCCATTGCACAGGCTGAGTTCGCCTATAATAATGCAGTACACAACTCCACAGGTAGATCTCCATTCTCCATTGTCTACATGAAGGTTCCAAATCATGCACCGGATTTAGTGAAGCTACCCAGAGTACCCGGTGTCAGCACCTCCGCAGAACAGATGGCGGACCAGATCCAATCCGTCCAAGAAGCCGTGAAGTAGAGACTAGAACAAACCAACGCCAAGTACAAGTTGGCAGCAGACAAAGCATCGTCGACACCAAGTATTTGATGTCGGTGATGAAATTATGTTATTCTTGAGGAAGGAAATGATTCCAGTGGGAAAATACAACAAGTTGCAGCCTCGGAAGTACGGTCCATACAAGATCGTGAAGAAAATCAACGACAATGCATATGTCGTGGACCTACCAGATCATATGGGTATCTCTAAGACATTCAATGTGGCTGACCTTCATCGCTACCTACCAGAGATGACACTTGCATATCCTAGTCACGACTCGGGGTCGAGTTCTTCCCAAGTGGGGGAGAATGATGGAGGCCCATCCCATAATGGGGGCCCACCTCACCATATGGGCGGCAGTTCATAGGATAAGGGAGCTTGCAGGATAAGGATAATTCAAGAATTCAAGATTATCCCATAATTCAAGAATTCAAGACCCATCAAGAATCCAAGAATTCAAGATCCATCAAGAATTCAAGAATTCAAGATAAATCAAGAATTCAAGAATCCAAGATAATTCAAGAATTCAAGATACATCCAGATCCAAGACTCAAGGAAGTTCAAGATCCAAGGTAATTCCAAGAAGATAGGATAAGTCATGCACCCAGGGAGATCGGATGGTGGAGATCAAGCCCAAGAGTGTTCGATCCTATCAAGACAAAGATCAAGATCAAGAAGAGTTCAATCCTAGCAGATTAGAGATATATCACAATTTTCTTTCCTAGTTATTCTACAATTTCCAAATGTATTATAAATATTGTTATTTTCCAAACTAATACACAATTTAGTTTTTCGCCAACTTTTCTCTCTCCTCTAGAGATTTACGTAAAAGCTTCGCTACGAAGCTGGTGTTCGCCCGGTGCTTGCATAGCCAGCCCGGTTTAGTGCTTCCACGCTGTGTCATAGTCTAATCTAATCTGCTGAATGGATAAGACTGTTGCTGTCGAATTGGATAGGATGAGAACACCGGATCATTGCTGCTGCTGCTGCTCCCAATACGCGTCCACATCAGATACTTCATCAATTTCTTTTTCTTGGAAAACCAATGAAAATCATGTTTTTAATGAGAATCCATCTCAGATGCTTGATAGTAGATAGGTTCTTACAATTTATATGCTTCCTTTGATACCCAAGCCCAGGAAGAAGCTTATTGAATTGAGTGGGTGGTTGAAGTGTTAGGTTTCTTTTTCATTTCTTCATTCTATGTGGTGGCTATAATGTATTAATCTTTTGTACCTGTCATGGTAAAAGATTTGTTCATATTATGCTCATGTCATAGACTTGTACTATCCAAACTTACTAGCTTAGTCTCAAGTATGCTCTTTAAATCATCGTTTTCCAAATGTTTTTTCCCGATAACCATTTCAATTTTCAGAAACACAAGTTCTTCAGGATCCAAATTTTCTGTAAGATCCAGTTTATTAAAACTAGGAGAAATCTCTTTTTTTTTTTTTTTCAATTGAGTGTCCTAGAGGTTTATTTGGAGCCTATTTTTCCACTTCACTGTTTATGTTTCCATTTTTGCGTGCTTGTACTTACGGATGAAGTGTTATATGATTTTAGCATGTGTGTGTGGCATGAACTAGTTGTTTTTCCATCTTCTCTCTCATAACATTCATGTCAATGTAGCATCAACGTCTTTTTCCATCTCCTCTCTTATAACATTTCTTGGTACTTCTTATGTCAGTTACCTTGTAGCAGCTGTTAGCTTGCAAAGTGTGTGGAGCTTGTCACTAGCCTTTGTAGACATATATGCCCTTCTTGTGAAGCGATGCTTGCGGAATTCTCGAATTGTCAGCCTGTTTACAATTGGTGATGGGGTAAGAACAATTTATATCCGATAATACATTGTACAGAGAAGTGCTCACTGTTTCATTTTAAATAAGGAATGGTGTTTAGTTGTTGTGGTTCAGCTATTCACAATCAGAGGACTACTCTGTGATTGTTTTGGAACTGCAAATCTTTGAACTTGGACCAAATTTTGCATGTTGTGACTGAACTTTATTTGGAGTTAAGTATCCATTGGTTTGATTTAACATCTTGTGTGGACTTTCTGCTTCTTTCTGACCCTTAAACTCAGCCAGATTTTGTGTATTGAGTAAATCTTGGTTAGAGGTGCACTTTGATTATAAATCATAGGCCCATCTTGCTTTTTTTTGGTCAAGGAGGGATCTGCATGGCTTCAACCTTGTCTTCCATGTTAGAAGCAACTTGTTGATATCTATAAGTTGTTAGTAGAAATATATCACCATAATCATTGATGCTGTATCAACTTCTCTGGGTTAGCTATGCAAATTCTTTCCTGCCATTCTACTTGTTTTAGGCCATTTGCATCTTTCTTTTCCTTGCTTCTCTGGGTTAGCTATACAAAACTTAATTGTCCTTAGTTGGTCATGTATTTGCCTATATCAACTAATATACACAAATATGTGGTTGATGTGGGCTGATAAGGGGTAGCACAGGCGATACAGGTGGATGATGTTGGACCATTCTCTCTGTGCCACATGCAGGTATAGATGAAAAAGGATACATATAAACCTTTTTCATGACTATGTTGTTAAGAGAAAGGTTTATAGTATCAATTGTCTAAAAGTGAGGGAAGTGTGGGTAGAGAATTACCTGGATTTGAAACAAGTTGTCAAAGATAATTTATTCTGCAAATATCCTTGATAGTGATAAATGGAGAAAGCATCAATTTGTGGCATGGATGAAGACAAATTGCTTGATGGATGGCTTCAATGCATGCACATCAGATGCATGGATTGTTTTTGATCAGGTACAGTGTACCTGCATGTAAATGTTGTGTTGGAAGATAGTGTACATACTGGGTGATGATGGAAATATGATTTTTGTTTGCATCATGACACATATCCAACAAAATGTCCAATAAACACAATCTGGACTCCTGAGAGCCAAAAGAAGTATGCCTGATTAAAAGAACAAAATGAGTGGGGATAAAATGCAACATGTCCCTATTTTGCATAGATGTGTTTTATGAAAGTTGTGACCACTCTCTCAGGATCCTGAGACAACTAATAAAATGCAGACACGACATGACCAACGTGTCCACATTTTTATGGGACTATCTCAGGATGGTCCTTGAGAGTTGAGACAGTGGTTACAGCTGATGTGAGTTCTGGAACCATGTTAATAATATATTTCATTTGCATTCCTCCATTGCTCATGTGGTTTCTTCCCTGCCTTCTAATACTGGGTCTTTCCAATTCAGGTAACATCCACACTTACCTTTGCTGCAGCCTGTGCATCAGCAGGAATTACTGTACTCATTGGCAATGATCTTAATGATTGTGCTCGTAACCACTGTGCAAGGTTCGAGACAGCAACAGCTATGGCTTTCATCAGCTGGTTTACTGTTTCCCCATCTTTTCTCTTGAACTTTTGGTCACTGGCATCCCGGTGATAGAAGACCAGAAGAAGTTTATATTGTCTAAAAGTTGTGCTATTGGTGTGAATCTGATGGTTTTTTCCCCTACTATTTCTCACTCCAAGACTTACACAGTTGTGCATATCACATAAGTTGGCCTATTCATAAAATTGAAAGCATTTCGAATACATTATGCATGCAGAGGTATATGGATATTGACATATCGTTTGAACTGCATTGTGAGGATGTCCACAGCCCACGCTAACCATGGTGTGGAATTTAACGTGCAATGCTTGCACGCTGGTCGTGCTGGGTGAAAACATCGGATGATCATTTACCAAAGTGATGTTTTTTGCACTTCCTATTTAGGATAGGGCGTTCTTTTTTTGGATTTTGAGAGGGGGAAAGGTGGTCAATGGGATTTTGGTTCTGATTGATCAAGAATCCTATGTTTTTTTTTTTTCAAATTTATGTGGGGACTAGGGAAAGTTTATTTTCCTGGGTATCACTTACCCGGGTCAAGGTTCAAAGTATCGATGCGCTTCTGTGTATCAACAGTATCGTATCAGTACTTAGAAACACATGAAACACTTTTTTTTTAAAGTTCTTTTTTTTTTCAAATCTTGGTTTCCTAGGAAGCTAAAAATAGGTTTTTTCTATTAAAAAAAGGCGGGGTTCTCGAAACACCCGTAACAGGTGTAGGGAGGGTGTATCTTTTCAAAACATATGATATGACATGCCTAATACGGGGCGTATCGTATCGATACTTTGAACCCTGACCGGGGTAAGTGATACCCATCTCTAGGTGGGTAAATAACTTTCCCACCTAGGGGGGAGTTGTCAACACTTGAATGGGACAAAAAATGCCCCTTTAATAATAAATTTTTATGGCTAAAATGGTCATTGCTTTATTTACATAAGAAATAAAAGAACATAGGTAAACACACTTACTTGGATAACTGCATTTACCTGAGTAAATAACTTACCAAAAAGCAAACGGGGCCTAAAGGGTTGCAAAGAAGCCCTAGAGCAGATCAATGAAAATGGGGCGATTGCTCTATGATTTAACCAATTAGTTTTAATTAGCTTTCCTTGTTTTTGTTTGTTTTGAAAACAAATATGCGTGGCTACAAGGAGCTTCAATTTGAATTTGGACAGCCATTGATTCAACTTAATGCTTGTTTGGCAAGTCATTTCCAAAAGATCTTATGGTTAAAAGACAGAGTGAGCTTTTGCAAATAGATTTTGGAAGATCAAAGATTGTTTGGTTGAAATATTTTACATAGATCTCACAAAAGACCATAAAAGCTAGAAGACTGTTTGGTAATGTGAATGTCTTGTGTATGGGCCAACAAACCTTTCATTTAACATGTGGGACCTACATACCATTGGTGGACATGTATGTGGGGCCCACATACATTTTACAAGGTGGCTTTGACATACCATTGGACATGCATGTGGGGTCCATGTGTGGACATGTATGTGGGGTCCACGTACATTTTACAAGGTGGGTCCGACATACTCTTGGTGGCCATGCATGTGGGGTCCATGTGTGGACATGTATGTGGAACCCACATACATTTTATAAGGTAGGCCCCACATGCCATTGGTGGATATGCATGTGGGTCCATGTGTGGACATGTATGTGGGTCCCACATATATTTCCCAAAGTAGGCCCCACATACCATTGGTAGGCCCCACTTACACATTTAAATAGTTTTTGTGGAAAAATAACCCATTTTCTTCTAAGCATATGCATTGTACCACATGTTCGAAGAAGACAGGGCGCTAAGAGACTGTAAAAGCTTCATTTGAAGCTTCTCGAAAAAGCCTAAATTCGGGTTTCTAGCTTCTTTTGTGGGCTAGAGCTTTTTCCGAATAAATCTTTCTATTGCCAAACGGGAAAAGTCCAGAATTCAAGCTTCCGAGCTTCTAAACAGCCTGAAGCCCACACGGAAAAACTTGCCAAACGCAGCCTTAGTCATCCTAGTGGACCCAGAGAAATGACTGTTCTTTTAAAGAAATAATATTCGGTAGAAAATTAACGTTTCCTATTTGTTGATGTTTGGCTTAACTTGAGGAAAAAACGCGTGAATAGTTTAAAGAATTCTAATAACTTTATTGGTTCACTTATTTTTTATTTTTTATTTTTGTTGTGTGGAAAATACTTCTCTTCAGAATCTTTATTTTACTTTTTGCGTGAATTGCTATTCTCCCATTTTGATTAACTTCATTTTCTGTTCCCCGATTAATAATCCTGTTATCGGATGATGCAGAACGGATTAAGGTGGGGGACAGAGAGGGAGATAACCATTAAAATGGATTAAGGCGAGGGTCCCAATCCATTCAAATACTCAATAGTGCTAATGGATAAATTGGGACCTTCTGTCTGTGAGTCCGGATCTCCTGGCAACACCAACAAAATCCGTTCCAACACCCTACCATGGTCCGAGACCCACCATAAAAGTGGGAGTCGCCAGATGTGTGAGATCCCAAGTCTGTCTTTAAAATGTATGGTGAACCTTATATAAAATCTACAACCCAAAGAATGGAATTCCAAAATTGATGCATAACGTCCATATACAGAAGTCTCAATCATTTTAAATTAATGAGGCACGTTGGCTGTTCCAATAAGGAAAATTGTCTAAAACGGCAAAAGACCGATCGGAGAATGTGATCATCAAAACAACCATATGATCAATATCAGATTAGCAGGACGACTGAAAGCATCATTAGTAAAGTATCTTCTTCGCCTGAGACGAAGAATCGGAGAAGGTGATTTGGTGGTTCGCTCACCTCTGATAAATGCAAACCTTTTCATTAGTAACTCGAGCCATTGGGTGCAAGCCATCCATTTTTTCCGGCAGTGCCACTTTCTTTGGTCCCCCAACCTTTTATTAAAACCATTATTTATGTGCGGTTACTAAGTGGAGGTTGGATCAAAACCTAATAAAGTGGGTTTTTGGTCCCCCAAAAACATCAACCAAAATGTAAATGATTACTCTTTAACATTCCTCAAACTCTCAAAATTTAAAAATAAAAAAAAATAATAGATCCAAACCTCCTCAGGCCATTTTCTCTCAAACTCTACTTCTTCTGCTCCCTATCTCATTTTATTATTTAACACTTTAATTTGGCCCCGCAGAAGAAAATTCCTCGCTCTGCCACTGCTCTTGGTGGCACTGCTTTCAACGTATACATGCTTATATTAGGCCGTGTCTTGCTTGGAGTTGGGGTGGATTCATAGAATTATATGATGTCATCTCTTAGATTTATACTGCGCTCGAGTAAGTTTGTTCTTGGAACAGGATGGAGATGTGATGGCATCTCTCAGATTTACCACTTTCCTAGGAATGTATAGGATATGGGTTTTGAGCAAAAACTTACCACATGCAATTCATTTCATTGGATGATCAAGCACCACCCAAGTAACTTCGGTGCAGGACCCACCATTAATTTGATTGGCTGAGCCCAAGTTTTAATGGTTGTTAGAGAGAAGATAAAATTAGGTAGTAACTAATCTTCTTATATTGTGCAGTCAGTCCCATTGTATCTCTCAGAAATGGCTCCACCACAGTACAGAGGAGCTTTCAAGTTTAATAATGGCTTCCAGTTTAGTGTAGGCATCGGAAGCTCGGAGCCTTATCAGCAAACCTCATAAACTTTAGTATTGAAAAGATTAGAGGCAGTTGGGGTTGGCATCTCTCTCTGGCCCTGGTTGCAGTCCAAGCTTCAATCCTAATTAAGCTGGTGACATCTCTCATGTCTGCTGTGATGAATGGAGTTGTGAGTACTGGCTTGACCTTCATATCCTTGCCGATCGTGGATAGATTAGACCAACGGGTGTTGTTTGCAATAAGCGGAGCTTAGATGTTTGCCTCACAGTTGATGGTCGAAGGAATAATGGCTGCCAAACTCGGAGATCATGGTGGGTTGAGCAAGGAAGACGCTTATCTGATATTGATTTTGATTGGCATATACATAGCTGGTTTTTGGGTGGTCATGGAGTCCATTGGGGTGGTTGGTTTCAAGTGAGCTTTTTCAACTGGAGATTAGATCAAATTAGCAGGATAGAGTATATTGTACAACTGAACGGCCTCGACAGCATTGGAAGCCTGGAGGACAAGCTGAGGCTTGAGGGAAGAGAAGCTCACGGTCTTGGTGCTTCCGTTCTCAGCCAGTCAGCCCCACCGTCATTCTGGAGATTGAGAGTTGCAGCATTCTCCTGCGCCATTAGTGAGCGACAGAGCAAGCATATGGGAGAGTGAAGAGGGAAGAACACAACCTGAAAGTTTGACTCGCCATAAATACCTGAAAATTGTATTTATGCTTACATGGAATGAACACCAACGGTGCTTCAACGGATGGTGAGTTTTGAAAATAAAAACTCACTGACATGAGGTTCCCATTCTCTAGACATTTTGAAAAGTCATAATGAGTTTAAGAGAAATGCTAAAAAGTCATGGTGAATTTTAGACAATTTTCCTTCCAATAAACTTCTCGGGCTTGGATTTATGGTATTCGTTATTATGTACTTGAAATTTTGGAAATTGGAAGAAAAAGAAAGCCAAAGCATATCTCATTTGAAAAATAATATACAAAGTCAACCTACAAAATATGGACAGTAAAATCTGACCATAATAACAACATTGTATTTCCTTTCACTGTTTTATGGCTTAGGAAATGCCCAGTGGTGACTCACTGACAAATACCCCGTTTGGAAAAATAGTATTATAGAAAACTATGACCTATGACATAATTGCCTTTCTCACTCACCAACCAAATGTTAGTTTGATCTGGTGGAAAAAACGTAAAAAAACTCGTGAAAGAGCCAAAAAATGAATCTCATATAAAATCATATCCAAATCAATATCAGAATTGATGGTCACCTAAATTGTTGTAAGCTGCATTTCAACTTCTCTGCATCAAGCTCTTGGTTCAATGACTCCACTCGGTCAAGCAAGTCAACGTTTTTCTAAAGATGTCATAAACAAAACAAATCAAAAGGCAAGTTTGTTGGTCATTTAAGGTGCAGCAATTCAGGAATGAAGATACAAATCACTCGGGTAGCTCATAAAATCATGCTAGAATTTCATGAAAAGTGATACAAGCCCACTTTCAAACCTTACTGAAAAGACCACATGGGAAACATTTTTTTTTTAATCCTTACATGAGAAACCAATTAAAAATGAGCAAGAACAAAAAGAGAAATTTGTATTAAGCAGTCACCTTTTGTAGCATGGCCAGTTTATGATCGATGCTTGAAGCTTCCTCCACCTTCTTTTCAAGAGCTTCCTTGGTCTGTCATGGGAATGCAACCTTATGTAACCAGATATAGGAGAGATTCAAAAAAGGATCTTCTATCTATTCTCTATGCTATTAACAATGAAGAGGACCAAGAGTCTTACATGTGGAATTAAACTGCACAATATGGTATTAGATTTACACATGGACAAGTAGGTGCATGCTATGCTGGTTGTGGTAAGAAACATCTTGGTAGCTAAACATTCCTAACCCTCTAACTCCTCCAAATAAGCATCTCTAAACATCTTTCTCTGATGTCTGAATAATGAAATTATTATCATGCTTATCTTTAAACTGTCAAATGCTGTTGAAACTCGAGAGATTAGATACCTTAAATCAGGTTTAATTTCAAGCACACACGTAAGTGTGAGAGCAGGGGAAAGGTTACTTTAAAATAATTGAATAAGCTGGTAGGTGAATACCATTTTCGTAAGCACATTTAATCAAATTTTAACAAAATGTGATGAACTTACTAGGGAATGCAATTACAACCAGTGACTCAATTTTATGAAATTATATAAATAGGGAATTGTAGAACAATTTTATGAATTGGGAAATATCTATGTAAAGATAGTATGGAGCATGCAAACAGTTAACATTTAAAGAGAAGGTCCATACCTTTATCAGCTCTTTAAGACAAGTTGTAGCCCTCTCTGCTTCCTCATCATACTTCAATCTCCATTCTGCCCATTCATCCATTGCTTCCTTGTTAGCAAGATCAAATTGCCTCCTGCAAGGAGTGAATGAAGGCATCATTGGTTATGGATATAATTTATAGTATTTACAGATACCCCCAGATACCCCTTATCTACAAAGTTTTCGTCCCCCACCTGCATAGATTTAGAGGACACCAGGGATCCAATGGTTTGAGATCTTATTATATGCCTCATACAACAAAATTTGAATAGATTTGATGGTCAGACTAGTCAAAAGTAAATTCAAACAGTGACTGCCTGTATCATCTTACGCCTTTAAGCTGGTTTGATGTCAAAATCACGAGAAATTCGTTTTTTCAAATCCTAAAAAGACACTCATGAGCTCTCTATTTGTTATGGTCCCGCACGTAGATCCCGTCACGGGTCGGTCCACGGTGCGAAAGCCCCCTGCTTCCCCTTGCGCCTTCCCTTGCTTACAGACCCTATTACGGAAACCCAATGGGTGATT